TAGTGACAGAGGAACAGTGACCCAGGGTAGTGACAGAGGAACAGTGACCCAGGGGTAGTGACAGAGGAACAGTGACCCAGGGTAGTGACAGAGGAACAGTGACCCAGGGTAGTGACCAAAGGAACAGTGACCCAGGGTAATGACAGAGGAACAGTGACCCAGGGTAATGACAGAGGAACAGTGACCCAGGGTAGTGACCAAAGGAACAGTGACCCAGGGTAGTGACAGAGGAACAGTGACCCAGGGTAGTGACAGGAACAGTGACCCAGGGTAGTGACCAAAGGAACAGTGACCCAGGGTAGTGACCAAAGGAACAGTGACCCAGGGTAGTGACCAAAGGAACAGTAACGCGTCTAATTATACAAGAAGGAAGTATCAAAGCTCCTTCATTCCCACCTCAACCCCCGAAAGTAACACTTGAGGAGGGTGCTATGCTCTCAACACTCTCCCTTCTCTCTCTCTCCCTCCTCTCTCTCCCCCTCACCCAACAGTTCCCGTGTTGTTCCCTCTCCTCTCTGACGGAACAGAGGTGGCTTGTTTGGTGTCTTCTAATGCCAGTTTCTGATCTGATTGCTCCGTTGATGTGCAAATGATGCAAGTGTTAAGCAGTACTGTGGGCTGAGTGGTCGGGGGGGGGGGGGGGAAGCTGCCTGAATGGGAGGTGATGGGTAGTTAGGTACTCAGCTAGTTGTGGTTGAGCTCCGGCTCTTTGGTCCCGGTTCTCGACCGTCAATCAACTGGTGTACAGATTCCTGAGCCTACTGGGCTCTATCATATCTGCATTTGGAACTGTGTGTGTGTGGAGTCTGCCGCCTCCCACATCACTGCCTAGTGCATTCTATTTGTTAACTACTCTAAAATCTGTGTAATGTCTCTGTGGCTCATTTGGGTACAACGTTCCCATCTGTGTCCCATTATTCTTGTTTCAACCATGATAAAATGTTTGTTTTTATCAACCCCTGATAATTCCTCTGGAATTATGTAGGTGGTGATCATGTCTGCCCTAACTTTACCGTCTTCCAGTGACGTGGAGTTTAATTCCAGTAGTCATTCTTCGTAACTTATACCTCTCAGCTCGGGGACTAAGTATTGCTAAGCCCAATTCCAATAGGACTTCTCGTATATGATACCCTGTATTCGAGCGTCCTGTTCCCTGTACCCAGTTTTATTACTTTGCACTTAATATAGTTAGCTCTAGCATCCACTTGATGGACCATGCTTGCACTATATCCAGGGCATTCTGAAATAATTTAAGTCTTTCATCGTAGTTATCCTCATCATTTTTGCATCTTCTTTTCGCACATTTGAGAGGAAGGAATCAACGCCCCTTTGTAAAGTAGTTTACAGCCCCTTTGTAAAGTAGTTTACATAGTATAGGAATCAAAATGGTCCCAGTACTGACCCCTGTGGGACGCCACTGATAGCATCCCATTACTCTAAGGTCTCTCCTCTCACTGTGACTCTTTTGTTACAGAGGAACCCCCTTTGTCCACTGGAGCACCTTTCCCCTCACTCCGGCCTGCTTCTCCATTTTGCGAACTAGTCTCCTGTGGGGTACTATGTCGTAGGCTTTCTGATAGTCCATAAATATACAGTCCGCGCACTCTATCTTCTCCTAGTTACTCGGCCAGATAACTCTGTTAAGTTTGTGGGAAAGGAAATGCTCTCCTGAACCCATCCTGATGTTCAGAGAGAGAGAGAGAGAGAGAGAGAGAGAGAGAGAGAGAGAGAGAGGATGAGAGAGAGAGAGAGAGAGAGAGAGAGAGAGAGAGAGAGAGAGAGAGAGAGAGAGAGAGAGAGAGAGAGAGAGAGAGAGAGAGAGAGAGAGAGAGAGAGAGAGAGAGAGAGAGAGAGAGAGAGAGAGAGAGAGAGAGAGAGAGAGAGATTAATGGAGAGACGAGAGACCAGAGAGAGAATGAGAGGAGAGAGAGAGAGAGAGAGATTAATGGCAACGCGAACCAGATAGAGAATGTGCTAAAATTAAAATACATGTGAGATAAACACAGACAGACAAGCACACACACACACACACACACACACACACACAACACACACACACACACACACACACACACACCACACACACACACACACACACACACACACTATCGGACAAACGTCAGGATGTCCTTCAAAAACCTAAGCAAACTACCCTTCCTGCTGCTGAACACATCCTCTGAGGGACTCACTCATCACCATCTCGCCCAAGCACGGACATGCAAGTATGTCTGACGAGTTTAACCACTTTAATAGAATAAACGTGATAGCTTTTAAAAATGGTGTTAGTAAGGTTAGGTTCGCTACGAATCGCTTATCGTGCACAATGTAATCTAACCTAACTTGACGCAAACTTAAGCTAATCTAATTTATCCAAATCTAACTGAAGTAACTTAACTTTATCTAATCTAAGCTAACTTAAAATAACCTAGTTCAAATATATGAGTCATAAATACTAAAAAAAAGAAAATTGAGTAAAATTTAGCCTATATGAGTAAGGTGTCCTTGCATTACTATATTCATCATGAGGGCCCTGACTCATGAGGAAGTATATATATACCTCATGCTACCCACAACGACTCATCAATGAGGTCCATGACCCATGAGGAAGCCCAATAATCTAGGAGGAGAAGCCTATCCCACACAAAACTATAGGATAGGCTTCTCTCCAAAACAGAAGACGCCCCCCCCCCCCACACACACACACATATGGCCGCTGCCTAACTGTGACTGCATAAACAGTGACAGCTTCGTCAGGTGTGTGTGTTTGGATTCCTCCTGGCAGAGGAAGGAATGATAGCATGATAGGTAGAGAGAAACAAGGGGCCAGATTCACGAAGCAGTTACGAACCTGTACATATATTCCTCAATCTTTGACGGCTTTGGTTACATTTATTAAACAGTTTACAAGCATGAAAACTTGCCAATCAACTGTTGTTATTGTTATAAACAGCCTCCTGGTGCTTCAGAGCTCATTAACTCTTTAATAAATGTAACCAAAGGCTTCAAAGATTGAGGAAAGATGTACAGGTTTCGTAAGTACCGGCGTAACTGCTTCGTGAATCTGGCCAAAGGTCTTTGACACCCTGGAGAGTTGATACTGGACACGGAAAAAAATATTAAAATTACTTTTCTTATGAGTATAAAGAGAGAAAATGAAGAATTTGGGTGTTATTTTTGTTTTCCTCCTCGCATCTGTTTTGAGTTCTCCTGTCTGTTTGTCTGTCTGTCTGTGTCTGTCTGTCTGTCTGTCTGTCTGTCTGTCTGTCTGTCTGTCTGTCTGTCTGTCTGTCTGTCTGTCTGTCTGTCTGTCTGTCTGTCTGTGTCTGTTTGTCTGTGTCTGTCTGTTTGTCTGTCTGTCTGTCTGTCTGTCTGTCTGTCTGTCTGTCTGTCTGTCTTTCATTCTCTTAATGCTCATTTTATGCTTTTAAATTAAGCATTGTAGAGGTTTGTTCACTACTTCAGCTAAATGTTTTACCATACAGGAGAGACTGTATAGTTTACCATACAGGAGAGACTGTATAGTTTACCATACAGGAGAGACTGTATAGTTTACCATACAGGAGAGACTGTATAGTTTACCATACAGGAGAGACTGTATGGTTTACCATACAGGAGAGACTGTATAGTTTACCATACAGGAGAGACTGTATAGCTTACCATACAGGAGAGACTGTATAGTCGTCAGCATGTATTCGCCTCAATACAGTTGCCTATTTAGCTCACCTACAGTAACTTCCACCTTACAGTGTCTCAATTACAGGTGCCCAAGATCCCAATTCTCTCACTTAACTGCGCTCTAGACTCTATGACAACTTTGAGTAAGAGGACGGGGCTCTAGAGCAACTCAGTGAGAGAACAATGCTCTAGGCCCTAGAGCATTGTTTTCTCACTCAAGGGGAGGACTTAGAGTATCTTCTCTCAAAGATACTCCTATCGTATGGACCAATAGCAGCTGCCTCGTATGGACCAATAGGAGCTGCTTCGTATAGACCAATAGGAGCTGCCTCGTACGGACCAATAGAAGCTGCCTCGAATGGACCAATTGGAGTTGCCTCGTATGGACCAATAGGAGCTGCCTCGTATGGACCAATAGAAGCTGCCTCGTATGGACCAATAGGAGCTGCCTCGTATGGACCAATAGCAGCTGTCTCGTATGGACCAATAGCAGCTGCCTCGTATGGACCAATAGCAGCTACCTCGTATGGACCAATAGCAGCTGCCTCGAATAGACCAATAGGAGCTGCCTCGTATGGACCAATAGCAGCTGCCTCGTATGGACCAATAGCAGCTGCCTCGTATGGACCAATAGCAGCTGCCTCGAATAGACCAATAGGAGCTGCCTCGTATGGACCAATAGCAGCTGTCTCGTATGGACCAATAGCAGCTGTCTCGTATGGACCAATAGCAGCTGTCTCGTATGGACCAATAGCAGCTGCCTCGTATGGACCAATGGGAGCTGCTTTGTATGGGCAATTTAATTGATTAATTTACGCTAATTATGTTAATATCTTTGAAGAGCGTCCCAGATAGAGACAAAAATATAAAACAATAACTAAATATCTCTCCTAAACACCATAACTGAAAAATACGCATTTGTAAATGTATAAATACAAAAGGCTATCACTCTACTGTAGTCTATTCGTAACTCCGCTGTAGGATTCTACGTACATAGTATTTGAAAGCCAATAGGAAGCCGCGCCAAGCAGCAACGTCATCACAGCGACCAATCAGCGTACAGAGTTAGGATGCGTACCATCACCGGATTCCTACAACTACCATTATGAAGTTTATTGTAGTACCAGAAACAACATTGTTTAATTAAGTCATAACATGATGAGTTATTCCAGCGTCCAATCGACCTATTACATCATAACAAGGATGTTAAATCAAATTAAACTCCTCGATTGTTGAATTAATAAATCAAAATTAATAGAGCGACATGGCAACTCGACTCAAGTCTGGGGCAGGGAGGCTGGAGGTGGAGGACTCGCCAGTCAGTCTACGCGCTGCGTTCAGTGAGGGAGGAGGTATATGTCTTTCCGCTCGAGTGTATTAGTGAGAGACGCCCACCTAAAGGGACCCCTTATAGTTACTGGGGTCCTGCAGTGTCGAAAATAAAAAAATACTTTTGTTTTGAGCAGTGGAAACTATATGGTGGAGAGTGTGGCCCTTGGATACAGCGATAATATGTAACAGAATTGGTGATATGACCATTGGTAAGTTAAACTGCTTTTGTTTATGTAATGATAAACATACCATTGTGTCTTTTAGAAGGTATGTTGGTATATATATTTAACAGAGGTTGGATATACCCAGATATCTATCGGAGATACACCATCAGTCTTAGATAATATGTGCCTTTTAGAGTTGAATCTCTGCTCTGGAGCCCCGCCTTTCTACCATAATCCAATGCAATGATTATCTTCACTCGCTTTATATAGTCTAGATTATACCACAATGATTGTATATACCTGGCGTAGTATAGATTATACCATAATGAGTATATACCTGGCGTATATTAGAAATATATACGCCCTTTGTCTATTGACAAAAATAGTCTTATTTGAGAATTGATTTACAAAACTATCTTTTTTATTTATGATGAATAAATACTGGTATATACCGTGTATTTTATGGAATATTCGGGAGCATATATACATATATATATATATATATATATATATATATATATATATATATATATATATATATATATATATATATATATATATATATATATATATATACAGATACTGTGTGACAGGAAAGTTAACTGTGATGTTAAACACTGACTTGTAGGAAAGGAGCTCTTAATATTAGACAGATATGGATGAACTAGCGTGTCAGGAAAGTATTAGGAATGCCATGAGTGACAGGAATGCCATGAAAGTGACAGGAATGCCATGAAAGTGACAGGAATGCCATGAAAATGACAGGAATGCCAGGAAAGTGACAGTAAACACGGGCGACAGGACCGTCAGGTGGCCAACCATGGCTGTCTGAGCGCCTCGAGTCAGCCCAACGCCCCCGGAATGCTAATGTTTGTCTGGCTGACAGCAATATGCCCCTCCCCCCTGTGGAGAAGTATGTGCACACCCGTAGGAGGCAGGTATGTACATATCCCTAGAGGCAGATATGTACGCGTCCCTGGTGGCAGTCTTGTGCACATCCCTAGAGGCAGGTATACACGCATTTTGCGTCGTATGTGCACAAAACTCGCTTCAGCTATGTGCATATACCTGTTACCTACCAGTAAATAGGTACCTGGGTGTTAGTCAGCTGTCACGGGCTGCTTCCTGGGGGTGGAGGCCTGGTCGAGGACCGGGCCGCGGGGACACTAAAGCCCCGAAATCATCTCAAGATATAACACATATGCCAGATATGTGCATAAAAATTACGCCAATTGGATGTGTGTGTGTACATAAACCATGTCTAGAATGTGAACAATTAGGCTTCTCAGCTGTACTATAGTTAGGTTTGTAAACATTGCATTAAGCCTAAGTCCACGTTACCCAATTTTGGATATATCAAAAACAGCAATATTAGCTGGGAAAAAATGTATAGGGCTAAGCCATGAGGTGATATAAACAAAGAATATGTTTCAAAATGTCTCAAAATGTCAAAATTCATGTCTCAAAATGTAGTCAGTAGGCTAGAGGGTGTTCTAAATGTATAGGTCTAGTAGATCTAATAAAAAAATCCATATTTTTATTTAGTCTTTCCGAACACCCATACTCATCTCTCCTTCCCCCCCCCTTCCTCTAATCAGTCATTCAATAATTATTTACCCATTCCCACCCATCATTTATCCCTCCCACCCCCCATCATTCACCCCCCTCCCACCCCATCACCCACTTTGTTATGCAACCCACAAAACCTCCTCCATTCCTCCCATGAATAACGCGAGAACACCAACACACTGATTACCCCCCTCCTCCTCTTCCCTGTGAGTCACCCCACCCCCCACCACACACCCATTATCCCTACACCCCCTCCCCCATCACCCGTTCCACCCCTCATGGAAGTCCCCATGTACTCATACACTCACCGTCCTCCCCCCCCCCCCCCCCTCACTTAGACCCCCTAACTCCACCCCCCTCATCACGTAGCTCCTCTCACAAGTCTATCACCCCTTCCATTTGTTGTCATAATCAAAATCTAAGAGTTGTGTATATGTTGTGGCCCTCTTCCACTTCTATCGACTATGGTAACACTGCCGGTAACTCCTAACCCCGCTCCTAACACCGAGCCTGAACCCCTCCTTTCTATCTCAAGATACTATCTCAAGATACTCTCAAGATACTCCCCCCTCTCACCCCCTCCACCTAGCCTAACACAGTAGCAGCCTAGCCCCTAGCCTAGTCCCTCGGGTCTTTCCAGAATCCACTTCGTTTTCCCTGTTTTAGCGTCACTATTTTCCTATTGTATTGAAGTAACTTTTCCTTGTGGATGTTTGGCATATCAACAAGTTCATAACTAATAATAGCCGGTCTGTTTAATTACCTCTTTAATTATTCTCTACTTTGGCCTAATTACTGTTATAGTCGTTGATTCACAGTTATTATTTAGTATTTATTATAGGATTGGTGTACTTTAGGTTGTAATATAGACAAGCTGTTCAACAATTTTACCTGAAACGAAGCGTATAGGCCTACTTTGTCTATTCCTTAGCTAAGAATGTTATGTATTTTCAAAATAGCCATCAGAGATTGGCCTATGTTAATCAGGCCTAATTCATTCTGCTCCATTCAGGCTGAGGCTGGAACAAATAGTAGGCCTACAACAATTTCCGTGTTTGTGCGCTGATCAATTAGCCTATTGTCATTCTCATTTTCGTGGTTAGCCATAGGCATAAGAAACCGATTTATGTTTGTATAAACCAATAAAATAGTTTTTATTTAAACAGAAGTATCGGCTTCGTGAGAACCTAAAAGAATACTTAATAGGCCTATGTTTAAAATGATCCCTGAATCTTTCCACCCAGATCTTGACCATGCTGAAGCACGTGACCTATCGCTCCACCTCGTCCTTGGGTCGAGCGTCAACTGACCTGACCTGCCGAGGCTCGAGCATGACCTCAGACACCATGAGCCTCAAGGGTGACCTGCCATCCTCACCCGAGCTCTCTCTCATGGGCGGTAACTGCCTGCTCTCCTCGGATACCATATCCTTGAAGGATGCCCCCGTGTCGGACACCCTCTCTCTCAAGGGGGGCTTGGGTCTCAAGAACTACGCCTCAGACACCATCAGCCTCCACTCCGCCTTGAGTTTCTCGTCCTTGGCGACCAGTAGACTGTCGTCAAGGTGCTCCTCGACTGCCTCTCTCAACGATCAACATACGGTGAGTCTTTCTACTTTGCTCTGATGACGGCGAATTAAGCCGAAAACGCGTTTAGCATTCTCTGTTTTTCACATGTGGGTTTTTTCTGCATATGTGCATGCTTCTAATGTAACCCAGTGCTAACATTCGTGCATCTTATGCAACAAGAGGTAATGGCATATTTTTTTTTAGATATATACAAGAGTTGTTACATTCTTGTACAGCCACTAGTACGCGTAGCGCTTCGGGCAGGTCCCTGGAATACGATCCCCGCCGCGAAGAATCGTTTTTACAACCAAGTACCCATTTTACTGTTGAGGTAAACAGAGGCTACAGTTAAGGATTTGCGCCCAGTAAATCCTCCCCGGCCTGGATACGAACCCATGACAAAGCGCTCGCGGATCGCCAGGCGAATGTCTTACCACTACACCACGGAGACTGGTGACTGACATATTGTGCAAAACACTGAATCTTAGACCTAACAGCCTTAGACCTTAGTCTTAGACCTTAGACCTAAGGGAGCCGGTCGGCCGAGCGGACAGCACGCTGGACTTGTGATCCTGTGGTCCTGGGTTCGATCCCAGGCGCCGGCGAGAAACAATGGGCAGAGTTTCTTTCACCCTATGCCCCTGTTACCTAGCAGTAAAATAGGTACCTGGGTGTTAGTCAGCTGTCACGGGCTGCTTCCTGGGGGTGGAGGCCTGGTCGAGGACCGGGCCGCGGGGACACTAAACAGCCCCGAAATCATCTCAAGATAACCTCAAGATATAACATGCAACAGTTTCAAACACAACTGCTTAGCTACCAGGACTCGACAGCGTATTGGTAGGCAAGGCTACCTTGTCTTCACACTTAATGCATCGCAGTTTGAACGCCTTTTCGACCACAGCGTCGGAAATACGGTGTTCTCCCGAGAGTAACAGCACTGCAGTATTGACGTAAGGCAGGACTAACTACCTGGACCTCGTAGGTTAAGTGCCCCTCACGCTTCACACTACACCTGACTGAATGTTGAGGGTCCTGGCACTGAATGTTGAGGCTCCTGGCACTGAATGTTGAGGCTCCTGGCACTGAATGTTGAGGCTCCAGACACTGAATGTTGAGGCTCCAGACACTGAATGTTGAGGCTCCAGGCACTGAATGTTGAGGCTCCAGGCACTGAATGTTGAGGCTCCAGACACTGAATGTTGAGGCTCCAGGCACTGAATGTTGAGGCTCCAGACACTGAATGTTGAGGCTCCAGGCACTGAATGTTGAGGCTCCAGACACTGAATGTTGAGGCTCCAGACACTGAATGTTGAGGCTCCAGACACTGAATGTTGAGGGTCCAGACACTGAATGTTGAGGCTCCAGACACTGAATGTTGAGGAGGGGGGCAAGGTATGTTTATCTAAACATCAATAAAAACGAATAAACATTAGTGAAGCCTTAAACAATTTGATCATTATAAACAAATTTAAATTTGTTTTCCTTTGCGTGCCAAGTGATGAGGAAGCTCGTCATCACTGATGTTTTTTTTGGCTTTGATGATTCCCGATGATTCTACATTCTTTTCGCTCGGTATCATTAATTGGGTACCTGGTTGTTACCTGGTACCTGGTTGTTAGAAGGGCGGGGGGTCGCGTTCCAGGGGTAAAATAGTGGGTATAAGGCTTACCCTGAGCTATGGGTAAGGGGGAAGCTCTCAGCCTGCTAACAGGAGTCAGCAGTCGTCTGCTCCTGTACCCTCCTGTGTGTAAACTTTGAAGATAAGGCATAAATAACTACCTCATATCACTATAATCGCTTATAAGTTAACATTCTATATGAGTTACTAATATAATATTTTGTCCAATTAGTCGAATACTGTCAATATGTCCCACTTGTTGAAATAATTACTTACAAAAACATGTTTTTTTTTAACTCGTGTGACTAATAAAATTAGTTTATTGTTTATACGGGCCCGTGAACAGCGGGGAAGGATATGAAACGCAGCGCTCTCCTTTTCGTTGGAAGTTTCAATGTGGACGATTTGTGATTTCTGGTCAGTGGTGGTGGGAAAATAATCCAGGCTAAGTGGAGTCATTCGTGAAGTATTACCTAGACGCACATGATGTTTCTGACATCATTGAGGTGTCATGAACCAGGTGGAAAAAATTCAGCTGCATCTGAGGGTTTTTTCTGTTTATTTAGACGGTTCGCTAGGGGCCTCGTAGCCTGGTGGATAGCGCGCAGGACTCGTAATTCTGTGGCGCGGGTTCGATTCCCGCACCAGGCAGTAACGGGTGGGCAAAGTTTCTTTCACCCTGAATGCCCCTGTTACCTAGCAGTAAGCTCTTGGATAGGTACCTTGGAGTTAGTCAGCTGTCACGGGCTGCTTCCTGGTGTATATATTTTTACTATTTGTGCCTGCAGTGTGTGGTGTGGGAAAAAAAATTTACTTGGTAAACAGTTGAATGACAGTCGAGAGGCGGGCCGAAAGAGCCCAAGCTCAACCCCCTGCAAGGCACAACTAGGTGAATACAACTAGGTGAATACACACACACACACCCATCCCCCAGGATGCAACTCGTAACAGCTGTTTAACTCCCACCTACCTATTTACGGCAAGGAGAACAGGCGCACCAGATGAAACAAACTGCCCCTTTGTTTCTGCCTCGGCCGGGAATATATTCCAATACCGATTTTTCATTAATCAATCCACTGCCTTTAATTTGTACGGTAATTAAGCCTCCTTGCCCCTCCCTGCAGTCTCCTACCCTTGCAGTTTCATGCGTTGAAGTCTAGTGTCCACATACATAGTGGTGTCTCTTCTGCGTGATGGGGAGGAGAGAAGGCAGAAGAGGAAGGAAAGAGGGAAAGGGGGAGGGAGGAAGCCTAGGGAGAGGAAGGGAGGGATGGGTAAGTCTTGAGCACCTAAATCACTCACCTGCGGAAAATCTAGCCAATTAAGGGTTACAAAGGCAGGTAGAACAGACCCTTTTAGGGGGTAGTTGGGAGGGAGGGGGGGGGGGGCTGACGAGGGTGTTAGGGGCAGGGGGGGGGGGAGGACCTAGGACTGTGTTGCAGCTAATGGATAGTTTAAGGTGGACTGAGAACGGCTGGGGTGAGTGCTGTGTGTAAACAGCTAGGATAACGATTATTGCTAGGTGTTGGATAGCCTTGCTGGGGTCGACGATGGGTTGATATAGTGTGGTATTCCTATTACCACACTAATACATGCTAGGAGTATGCTGTGTTGCTAGGAGTATGCTGTGTTGCTAGGAGTATGCTGGGTTGCTAGGAGTATGCTGGGTTGCTAGGAGTATTCTTGGTTGCTAGGAGTATACTGGGTTGCTAGGAGTATTCTTGGTTGCTAGGAGTATACTGGGTTGCTAGGAGTATTCTTGGTTGCTAGGAGTATACTGGGTTGCTAGGAGTATTCTTGGTTGCTAGGAGTATGCTGGGTTGCTAGGAGTATGCTAGGTGACTTTGAAGATGCTGGGTTTCTATACAGTCCGTCCTCCCGAGCGGTCACAACGTCACTAAACTGATGTACTGAGTACGTACTAAACTGATGTGCCCGAACCTAACCTAACCCAGGACCCATGGATAGAAAACGGGATCTCACGTCAATTTTTGCGAGCCGCTGTGATATTTAAGTACACCAGGTTTTTTTTGTTTACGTTAAGGGATGAATACGTCAAAATATGACTTATTATTCGAAGAGGACGGGTTGATTGCGAACCGAATTTAGGCCTAAGCAACATATCTTAGGCCTGGCACTGCGGGGAATTTAAACCAAAAAGTGATTAATCTACATGAAAAATAAATTTGACTTTTTGTTAATAACAGAACTTGAGCTGTAACATGATTTCTTGTCTGATTATTTTGAGTGATATGTTAATAGAAGGTAGATTCATCTACCCCCTTCCCTATCTACCAATAGGGGGTAGATTCTTCTACCCCCTTCCCTCTCTACCCCTTGACCTCAAAGGCAGTGTCCACCCCTTCTCTATCCCTTGGGGGGTTAGATGCTATTTAAGTCTACTCCAGGACCCGGCTTCTCCCCCCCCCCCCCTTCTTAAGACCCCAGGGGTGGCTCCTTACCCCCTTAGTTTCCAGAATTAAGGGGTACTGCCAAACCTACTCCGTTTCCAGTCCCTAAGGGGCATTTTCGACCTCCCCCCCCCCCCCCGTCCCTTTTTTCAACCTTCAGTCCCTCAGGGTTGCTCATACCCCCACCCCACCACCGCTGGTGCCCAGAAGCGATGCCCTAAGCAACGCGACCTTTGACCTTTTCTTACGACCTTCGCGACCTGGAGTTTTTGTCGCTTGACTCTGCATTCTTGCCCTGACCCCAGACCTCCTCGAGGGCTACTGGGGCGTTGGTACCCCCAGGGCATCAGGTCCCACCACACACATGATGTTGTGTGGTGTTGGCTGGGGCAGATGTTGTTGAATATGATGATATGATGATGTTGGCAGTGATGATCCCTTGATGTTGATCTTGATATTGGCAGGTGAGCGAATATATTGTGTTGTGATGGATACACACACACACACACACACACACACACACACACACACACACACACACACACACACACACACACACACACACACACATACATAGCCTAGGTACATATAGTCCAAATATTAGTGTCAGTGCTGTGAATAGCTAGCCACTAATTATACAACAGCTTGTTCTGCTGTAATTGCTTTTCCTAATACGGCTTCTACCAGCCTTCATCTACAGGCTTCTACTTCTGTTATGTCTTCTACAGGCCTGGGGCCAGATTCACAAAGCAGTTACGTAAGTACTTACGAACGTGTACATCTTTAATCAATCTTTGACGGCTTTGGTTACATTTATTAAACCGTTTACAAGCATGAAAACTTCCCAATCAACTGTTGTTATTGTTATAAACAGCCTCCTGGTGCTTCAGAGCTCATTAACGGTATATTAATTGTAAACAAAGCCGCCAAAGATTGAGAAAAGATGTACAGGTTCGTAAGTTCTTGCGTAACTGTTTCGTGAATCTAGCCTCTGGCCGGGAGAACTCACGAAACACACTCCAGGTATGCTCCAGGTACTAGGGATAAGCTAAGGCTCACAGTACCGTTGTTGGAGAAAATATTGGAACAGCACCATGAACGAGGAAGAAAACGGGGGATGGACTGCTATACAGGGCTCCCCTTCTCCCATGGCACAACAGGACTCCCATGTTGTCATCACGGGAGGGGGGGGGAGGCTAGGGAACAATCAGGAGAAAGCGCCAAGCCATTACGACTATATAGCCCCGGAAACGGGGTCAGGATAAGGATTTGGGATGGGACGGGGAGGGGTTAGGAATGGTGCCCAACCACTTGTGGACGGTCAGGGGGATTGAACGCAGACCTGTATGAACGTATTGTGGAGATGAATCAGTTTTTTTTCTGATTCCGTCTACGCTTTGTCAAGCTTCTAATATTCACCTAGTTGTGGTAGCAGGGGGTTGAGCTTTGGCTCTTTGGTCCCGCCTCTCAACTGTCCATCAACTGGTTTGAGATCTCGTGTTTACTTCATTATTAATAATATCTTTACCGTGCTTGTCTAAATGGGACGTTGTTCTCCTGTTTCTACAGACGCCTGTGAAGGTGTACCTTCGATCTCTACGCCCCGACATCGAGTACAAGACGATGAGCCTGTCGTCCTCGACCACCTGCCGCCAGATGATTCTGATGATCTTGGCCAAGTTCCGCTTGCGGCACCGCGACCCCAACTTGTTCTTCGTGACGATGGAGGTGGTGGTTCGAGCCCCGGGCGGAGGCGCCCCAGCGCGGCGCCTGCTGGTGCTGGAGGACCACGCCTGTCCCGCAGAGTTGCAGCAGTGTCGCCCTCGAGGCGAGGCGCGCTTCAGCGTCGGCGTCCGTCGAGGAGGACTTCTGCGGGTCTACGACTCCATCCTCATGCCTGGGGTGAGTGCCTTGGGGTGCCAGAGGGCCTTGTGGTGCCAGAGGGCCTTGGGGTGCCAGAGGGCCTTGTGGTGCCAGAGGGCCTTGGGGTGCCAGAGGGCCTTGGGGTGCCAGAGGGCCTTGTGGTGCCAGAGGGCCTTGTGGTGCCAGAGGGCCTTGGGGTGCCAGAGGGCCTTGGGGTGCCAGAGGGCCTTGTGGTGCGAGAGGGCCTTGGGGTGCCAGAGGGCCTTGTGGTGCCAGAGGGCCTTGGGGTGCCAGAGGGCCTTGTGGTGCCAGAGGGCCTTGGGGTGCCAGAGGGCCTTGGGGTGCCAGAGGGCCTTGTGGTGCGAGAGGGCCTTGGGGTGCCAGAGGGCCTTGTGGTGCCAGAGGGCCTTGGGGTGCCAGAGGGCCTTGGGGTGCCAGAGGGCCTTGTGGTGCCAGAGGGCCTTGGGGTGCCAGAGGGCCTTGTGGTGCCAGAGGGCCTTGGGGTGCCAGAGGGCCTTGGGGTGCCAGAGGGCCTTGGGGTGCCAGAGGGCCTTGTGATGCCAACTGGCCCTGTGATACCAGATGGTCTTGGTGACTGTAAATGGAATCTTTATTATAATAATTTCTGATAACAATAATATGTGTCTTACCACTTGACTAGTAACATTAATCACCAGCTGTCACCACCTGGTAACGTGTACTAACACCAGCTGTCACCTCCCCCCCCCCAACAGTCGCAGTACAAGTCCCTGCTGGTGTCGTACCGGACCACAGCCGAGGAGCTGGTCCAGCTGCTGCTCAACTGCTACAACAACAAGGAGAACCACAACCACTACATCGTGCACGAGGTCAACAACAGCCCCTACAGTGACCGTCCACTCCGGCCCGAGGAATGTCCCTTGTTGGTCCAGAGCGAGTGGCCCAGGGCGGCCCGGGCCAACATGGCCTTCGTCCTCCGTCGCAATGTGGCCTACGCCCTCAGTCTTAAGTCTAGGGTAAGTCTTCTAGGCCCTCTTAAGTCTAAATTAAGTCAACTTGTAGTATCTGAACATTATAGTCCTTTCAAAACTGGAAAATGGAGTCTGTTGTGTCTCAAAGTCCAGTTTCCAGTCTGGAATCCAGTCTAGAGTTTCCTATCCTGTCTGGAGTCTCCTAATCGTTTGAAGTTTCTCAAGTCTGAAGTCCCTAATTTTTTCTTTTCAGCTGTCTTGGAGACGCAGTCTGGATCAGGCGAGTACGGACACAGAGTCTGAGTACGAGGACCACAACACTACCATCGGCAGCCTCATCTCAGCCTCCAGTGTCTCCTCTGCGCTCAGCATTTCCTCTCACAGCAGCTTGTACTCGACAGGCAGCGTGTCGTCGAGAGGGAGCTTGTCCTCCAATGTCAGTGTGTCCTCGAGAGGGAGCTTGTCCTCCAACGCAAGCGTGTCCTCTGATGCCTCGTCTTCATCCGGCGTGTCGTCCTCGACCTCTCCTGTAGGGTCACCTGCGCCTTCACCTGCAAAGAGTGCTCCTCGACTCTGTATTGCAGAACCTTTGGAGGCTAAAGTCACTTCAAAACCTCCCATCTGTTCGGTCATCACAGCTAAGTCTCCAGTATCATCAGGCACAGCATCTTGCCCCTCGAGAACCTCGATCTCCCCTCCAACGCCTGTCCCGAGGACGATACTGAACACGTCAGTGTCAGAACTGAAGAGCAGATCTCTACCAGCAAATTCTGCTGACTCCGAGGTCAAGACAACGACGTCTCAGTGTCGCTCTACAACTGATGTTATTGTCTGTTCTTCCTCAATGTCTGTGCCTTCTTCCTCCTCCTCCTCTGTGCCCACACTCTCCTCTTCTGTGCCCACACTCTCCTCTTCTGTGCCCACACTCTCCTCCTCCACACCTACTCTATGTTCCCCCACGAGTATCTCTTCCTCTCTCTCCTTTACGTCCACACTTACACTACTCTCCTCAGCATTCTCTCCCTTTTCCATATCCACCTCATCTTGCTCTACCCTCTCCTCTCCCACTGTGTCTTCCTCCCCCTCCATGCCTTCAGTCCCCTCTATATCTACCTCCTCCTCCTCCCCTACCAGCTCCCCCCCTTCCTCCACATTACCCCCTTCCACCACCCCCACCTCCACACTGGGTGGAGCACCAGTGGAGGGAGACAGAGTATCTCCTGTGCCACCACCTCCTCCACTGCCTGCAAGACGAATGTCCTGCTGCAGGAACTTTGACAACTGCTTCTACATCTGAGCGGCGTCAACCGCAGCTGATGCTGGATACCAAAGATTAGGTAAGAATCTTATCTCCCGCTCCGCGTCTTAAACGCAACGTATACGTGTGTTTATATATATAAATCGTGCCATTGTGATTTCATTGCGATTTATAATGTATATTACTTTTTTTTGGTAAGGGGAAAGGGGGGGTTTATAAAGATATTTAAATGTAATGGAATGCCCTGTTTTATTTGCAACTGAATATTACTCTCTTATTCTCTTGTGTCACAGGTCATAATTGGGGAGTTAGCAGTGTTGCTCATATCTAACCCCGAGGAGAGGAGGAGTCGGTGCAATGAAGGTCAGATTGTGTGAACATAAACTGAGAACTGCCGTGAACAATTCTGAACAATCACAGTGCCTAGATGATGAAGCAGAGTGAAATGTTGCAGGAGCGGTGCCTTTAAATGCAAAAAAAAAAATTAATTTAAACGCCGTATGAATCATAGGTGTTCGACTCTTTTTTAAAAGACGCCGCCTGCCTGCCTACCTGCAAGAAACAGGCAGGCAGGAGGTCACAGGGGTCACACAACAGTCAACCACCGCTGCTGCTGCTGTTTCCACCTGCAACAATACACGACCCTGAACTTGGTGGGAGAAAAGCAACAGTGGAGTGGAACCCCCCTCTCTTCCTCGTTGTTCTTTGCCAGTGGGCGTTCCCTTCCACTGGCAGAGTCTGTCTGCAAGTCAAGGGGAAGCTGCCACGCCCCCACCTTCTCAAGGAGGTCAGGCACGGGTCACACAAGGTGCTTGCCCTACGAGCGAGGGGAATCTCGTATTTCGAGATACTGCACATTTGTTCGTAGATTAACACAGTTCCATAGTTTATAAGATGTGGGACATCTTACATGTTTAGGAAACTATGCACAACGGTGCTGGAGGATTGTGGGAGAGATGAGTGTTAATTAGGCACTCAGACCATGATTCTAGTTGTCGTTTCTCGGCTCTATATTTCTCGCAGTGCCACGGTGCCATGTCGGCCTTCCGTCTCTCCTACAGTTTCCTCTATTATCCTTCCATTTCTCCCCCCATTCTATCCCTTTCCACTTCTCTACGTCCACTTTTCCTCTCCTCCTTCTCATCTGTGATTATCATGTGTGATAATGGCTGCTCCCCCATAGCCCTATGGCTGCTCCATAGGGCTATGGGGGAGCAGCCATAGCCCTATGGCTGCTCCCCCATAGCCCTTCTCATGCTGTATCTTCCACTTATCTGGGTCCCCATCGTCCCCATTCCTCCTCCCCAGCCTTCCCCCACTTACCAACAGTTGACAGTCGAGAGGCGGGACCAAAGAGCCAAAGCTCAACCCCCACGCAAGCACAACTAGGTGAGTATAGCTTTCCACACCCCCATCCTTTAATTCTGCCGCCCTCCCCCTCTCCCCCCCCCTCCCCCCACCTCGCCACCACTTCTCTAATGGGCAAGGGAACCCTACCATCACCGCAGGGCTCACCCACAATAGGGTTGGGTCGCTGGGGGTGTGGGTTGGAGGTGGTGGAAGGAAGGAGGAGGGGGGAAGGGATAGGATAGAGGGGGGAGGGGGGATTATGAGGGAGTGGGGGGGGGGAACTGTTACAATAGACTAATTTAAACAATTGATTGTTTAGGAGACTTGAGTGCTCCTTATGACCACGGGAGTCTCTGTCTCTGTCTCTCTCTCTCTCTCTCTCTCTCTCTCTCTCTCTCTCTCTCTCTCTCTCTCTCTCTCTCTCTCTCTCTCTCTCTCTCTCTCTCTCTCTCTCTCTCTCTCTCTCTCCCCAGACCCTGAGCCCATGCCCAACAGTGCACGCTAGCACACCAAATGACTTCGCGAGACCTGCTAGTTGAATAGCCTAGTATACTAGTGCTTCTGGTTTTTTTAATATGATAGTCAACTTCTAAGTCATAATAGATAAATGTTCAGGATAAACACACAAATGTTACTTTAGTACAAAAATGGCTTTTGTCTTATTTCTGCTAAATTAGAAGCAAACATAAGAACGTTTCTGACGTCTGCTAAAAAAAGGAATAATTTCTTATGCCTGCTAAAAGGAGAATGCGAATGTGGTCTCTCATTCCCTCTTGGACATACATACCCCCTCACATCCACCTATCATCCATTTCCAATCAATCCACTTATCCTTCTCCAAGCATCATCCACCAAAGACTGACACTAGACACTCTGATACTGGATGAAAGACCACATTCCATCTTAGCACCAAGTTATCATTCTCTATGTGTGTGTGTGTGTGTGTGTCTGAGGCCATGTGAACACTGTCAATCATCCTGTTGGGAGGTTGAATGATTGCCAATCTTCCTCTCTTGAGGGATTATCAATCATTCTATCCCGAGGGTGAGTTAGTTATTTAAGGGTTATTTAAGGCCGTAACCTGAGTTGACTGGCCAATCAGCAAGTATACTTTAGCCCTGAATATTGTCCAAGACCAAAGTAAACTTAGTATACACCGAGGTGAATGGTGTACCTCTCCTGTATAAACTTTGATGGTAGACAAGACTGTCACATGATCATATTCCTGGTTGCTTATGCACAGTGCCTTAAAAACATATATATATATATATATATATATATATATATATATATATATATATATCGGCATTTGTTCTAATTTTTAGATCTTTACAGAAACATCAACTCGATAAATTTTTGTTTTACTGATAAAAATTAAGTTTTTTAATTCGCATAAAAATCATTGGCCCGTGTTTTCATAAATTTATTATAGATGCATTAAATTACGTGTACATTTAAAATGTAATTTCTTGATGTCCAGAAACTTTGGTTTTAATGTCATTAATATTTTATGTCTCGCAATCAAGGTGTGTCTGAAGTTTCAATTAGCAGCTACAATTGCAATATTTGATACTTTTATTGATATATAAAAGTCGTGGTGAAGCATTATCAAACATGGCATTGTTGAGCCTTATTGTTTGTTTGTTTGTTTGTGTTCTGTTTCTTGTTATTGTTATTAATATGATCTTGGGAGATGCATGGTACCAACCTACACAGGACTGTGGATCCTGCAGCAATGTGTTGTTTTGATTTGCCAAATTGTAAAAAAAAAAAGGCAGGGGGTTCTAAAATACAGGTACCCAAGCCTACCTACCTAACCCAACCAACGTACGATGTATAGAAAACGTGGATATTTGTGACCAAAACGTACAAATTTAGATGTATTACCTCGAGAGGCCGGCCCGGATAGGAGACACATCTGTTAAACAGTATTAATTATTTTCCACAATAGCGTATTGTAGCTGAGAATACATTAAGTCCTGAGATTGAACTGGCGTCCCCTGGATTGCCTACTAACGCGAGTTCAATCCCAATACAGTGACTCCCTGGCGTATAGTGAGATCACAGAGCCTGTTTTATAGTGACACAGTGCTTTGAGTACATATATATATATATATATATATATATATATATATATATATATATATACAAACACTCATAGATTTCACTGAGTACTTGAGACACCACTCACAGATTTCACTGAGTACTTGAGACACCACTCACAGATTTCATTGAGTACTTGAGACGCACTCAATCTTCCAATGAAGTTATTATTGTAGACAAGCCACCTTTGTTTAGAGTGAAGACAATAAGTGGGTTATAATTGGGGATAATTTGTTGAATAATAGTTACTCATGTGTTGTAGTCAATGTGTAGAAAGCATGATAATATTTGATAAAATCTCCATCAAAACAGTTTAATTAATATATTTACATAGCTAATGTGTGTTCTGGTTAATGGTAACGAATGTTCCTGTCTAGGAAAGGGAGGTGTTCATCCCCCCCCCCCAGTGTTCATAAATGAACTTTCACAACTCTTCGTGAACACAACCTTGTATCCAGCCTTTGTTCACTAGTATTAATGGCATCTATGAACATTTGTGAACAACTCAGTATCTTTGACATATCAGATTCCATTATGTTTGTTCATTTATCTATCATTGTAATTATGTAAATAAGATGTGTATATAAAATGTTACAAAGATTACATATATATTTATATACATATATAAATATATACCTATATGTGTATTGCAATAAAATACTCTACCTATTGAATTGCTTTTTTTTTAATTCTAGATAATGGGAAAAAATTATAAGCTAATTGGGGGTCCAGGAAAGTAATTAAATAGGGAGAGAGAGAGAGAGAACCGTATTGTAAATGGGATAGAGAGATAGACAGGTCAGAGGAGATATGACCCATGCATGCAAAGTTTTAGAGAGAGAGAGAGATGGACTGAGGGCCAAAACAAAACAGGAGACACAGATATATATGTAAATAAACAATTGATTATATATATATATATATATATATATATATATATATATATATATATATATATATATATATATATATATATATTTAGCTAAGCTAAATATATATATATAAACAGCTAAGAGGGATATCAATTGAGAGTCAAGAATGTCTCGAGACAGTTGGTCTGAAAAAACACCCGGGTCTCTGTGTTCTAATGGGCTTCGTGTTTTTTGGGTCTTCCGAAGGACCACGTTAATAGTGCTATTCCCGATGTAATCATTTTTTTTTAATTGCTGAATATTATTTTATGGGTTTTCTGAAACTTGGGAAAGTTTACGGATTAAAATATGTTACTTTTTTAATTTTTTGGTCAAAATAGCATTTTTGTTGTAATAATTTGAGTAGACTGTTTGTGTAAAAGCTGTTGTATGTGGCAAAGTATAATGTCATGTGATAGCATACTTAGTGAGTCTACTCCAGACAAACAGACTACTGTGTATTAAACCCACAATATCGCTCTTAACATACATGCATAAATACACACACACACACATATACATGTGTGTGTGTGCGATATATACATAGATACATACACATACGTACTATTCACATACATAGATACATACACACCATACTAGGTACGACATATATATATATATATATATATATATATATATATAAACAGCTAAGAGGGATATCAATTGAGAGTCAAGAATGTCTCGAGACAGTTTGGTCTGAAAAAAACACCCGGGTCTCTGTGTTCTAATGGGCTTCGTGTTTTTTGGGTCTTCCGAAGGACACGTTAATAGTGCTATTCCCGATGTATCATTTTTTTTTGAATTGCTGAATATTATTTTATGGGTTTTCTGGAACTTGGGAAAGATTACGGATTAAAATATGTTACTTTTTTAATTTTTTGGTCAAAATAGCATTTTTGTTGTAATAATTGAGTAGACTGTTTGTGTAAAAGCTGTTGTATGTGGCAAAGTATAATGTCATGTGATAGCATACTTAGTGAGTCTACTCCAGACAAACAGACTACTGTGTATTAAACCCACAATATCGCTCTTAACATACATGCATAAATACACACACACACACATATACATGTGTGTGTGTGCGATATATACATAGATACATACACATACGTACACACACATACATAGATACATACACACACACACACATACATAGATACATACACACACACACACATACATAGATACATACACACACACACACATACATAGATACATACACACACACACACATACATAGATACATACACACACACATACATAGACACATACACATACGTACACACACACACACACACACACATACATAGATACATACACATACGTATACACACACTTATAACCCTGTACGAATCCCACCACTTTTACAACTTTTGGGAGAAGAGTTTGAAGAGTGGTAAAGATCCTGTGCTCTTAAGAGTTCCGTATTGACCAGTGGTGGGGGAGGGGGGGGCGGCCTTGACCTTCCGGCCCACCACTGGTCCATTGTTAAGAACAATCAATTACCCGACCATTGAGACGACGCCTCTAAGAAGAACAGGAACCGGCTGAACAAGGAGAACAGTGCTGGGTGTGTAGGGGGGAGGGAGGGGGCTTGAACACGTGTGCCGCTGGTGTGGTTGGACAGATGTGCCTCTGTACTGTGTGTACACTCACAGGGTGCACATGTATAGGGGTTCAGCGTCTCAGTGTGTGTGTCGGGGGTAGAGCAGAAGGGGGTGGTGGTAGGTGGGGGCAGGGTAATATATTTGTGCTCTCAGGAGTTGGGCTTCATTTCGGGCTATTCATGCCCGTGCCACCTCTTGGGGTGGCTTAATCTTCATCAATCAATCAATCTTGAGCTTCAGTTCTTTGCTCCAGACACTCAACAATTTCAATCACACCATATAGTGTCATAGTGTCTACCATAGTGACATAGTGTCATATCTGTCAACACCATTGCCGGTCACCATGGGGAGCCGGTCGGCCGAGCGGACAGCACGCTGGACTTGTGATCCTGTGGTCCTGGGTTCGATCCCAGGCGCCGGCGAGAAACAATGGGCAGAGTTTCTTTCACCCTATGCCCCTGTTACCTAGCAGTAAAACAGGTACCTGGGTGTTAGTCGGCTGTCACGGGCTGCTTCCTGGGGGTGGAGGCCTGGTCGAGGACCGGGCCGCGGGGACACTAAAAAGCCCCGAAATCATCTCAAGATAACCATAGTCACTATGGTGTTGACATAGTCATGTAGAGAAACCAGGAAGTTGAATGGATTGAACAGAAGAGGGTGGAAAGTGGACACAAGGAAGGAAAGGCTAAGAACTACTGTACTATTCTACTGTAGTTCAGGAGTTCAGGAGAGAGGGTTAAATGCCTGCACACTTTTCTTATTTTTCTTATTTTTTTTGGCTGTAGTTCAAAGGACTCGATTTCTCCAGCATGGACCTCTGACCTTCGGCTTTCTATGATATTTTTATGAATTACCTGATGGTAATTTATTGCTGTTATCGAACTCATTATAATGTTTTGTGGTAATCTGTGTGTCTGGTGGAAATTATTTCTTAATACACACTCTCTCTCTCTCTCTCTCTCTCTCTCTCTCTGTCTCTCTGTCTCTGTCTCTGTCTCTGTCTCGTGTCTCTGTCTCTGTCTCTCTCTCTCTCTCTCTCTCTCTCTCTCTCTCTCTCTCTCTCTCATCCTCCCTGTCTCTCTCTCTCTCTCTCTCTCTCTCTCTCTCTCTCTCTCTCTCTCTCTCTCTCTCTCTCTCCTCTCTCTCTCTCTCTCTCTCTCTCTCTCTCTCCTCTCTCTCTCTCTCTCTCTCTCTCTCTCTCTCTCTCTCTCTCTCTCTCTCTCTCTCTCTCTCTCTCTCTGTCTTCTCTCTCTCTCTCTCTCTCTCTCTCTCTCTGTCTCTCTCTCTCTCTCTAACGTGGTTACAGTACCCTGGTACCCTGTACGGTTGAGGGTGATCCTGAGCGCCGGGGTTCGAATCCTGGCGGGGTCAATAGAGTTCTTAAGAGTGGTTTATGGCTCGCGCGGTCATACAATCTTTGTGTCGTACTATGTATGTATGTATGTATGTATGTATGTATGTATGTATGTATGTATGTAACTAATACGCAAACTACCGATGCTTAAGATGCACCCGACAACATATGTGTGTGTACCTCTGGGGCTTCAATTTAATGTTAGGTGGACAGAGGCATCAGATGTAAGAAAACGTGCCCCTCATCCTGCCCGGGGCATGCGCTGACCTGAGTGCGCATGTGAGCTACGGTCATGTCACGGTTACCAACATATGTCATGCTGTTTTACCCATTTAACCCCCTTACCCATCACCCCCTTAACGATTATCCCCCTCCCCCATCAATCACCTCGTCCCTATCTCCACCTCTAACCGCTAAATGGGTTTCTTAAGGATAAATTGACTACTTCCAGTTTCCATATTGTTCTTCAAGATGTATTCCGTCACGCCCTCGGCCTTAGGCTCATTTCGGTTTTAATTGGTCGTTACTGCTTCTCTGCGTCTGGAGTCCGGGTCGTCCATACATCACATTCCTCCTTTGATGGTGGCCGCTGTCTTCCAGGACAGCTGGAAGGGCCCCTTGTTTGAGAGGCCCCTTGATCCGGGCCCCCTGTTCCAGGCCCCTGTTCCAGGCCCCTACTCCAGGCCCCTGTTCCAGGCCCCTACTTCAGACCCCTTTTCCAGGCTCCTACTCCAGGCCCCTGTTCCAGGCTCCTACTCCAGACCCCTGTTCCAGGCTCCTACTCCAGGCCCCTGTTCCAGGCTCCTACTCCAGGCCAGTACTCCACCCCTGAAGCTCCACGAGCTGATGGTCTTCGGTTCCAGACAGAAAGAAGTTCCACCGCCCGTTCCACTCTCTGGTTCCGGACAGATCGTTCCGCAACATGTTCCAGTCTTTATTTCCAGACAGTGACTCCAACACCTGTTCCAGTCTCTGGTTCCAGGCAGAAGTCCTTGCCACCTTTCCCAGTCTACAGTTCCAGGCAGAAGTGCTTTCCACCTTTTCCAGTCTACAGTTCTAGGCAGACGTCCTTTCCACCTTTTCCAGTCTACAGTTCCAGGCAGAAGTCCTTGCCACCTTTCCCAGTCTACAGTTCCAGGCAGAAGTCCCTTCCATCTTTTCCAGTCTACAGTTGCAGACAAAAGTTTCGCTACTGCAAAATACATTAACTATGCAAATTATGACCCCGTGTTGTATCCATTGTATCTTTTCAACGCTTGACTGTATTCTGGCTGGTCTTCATAACTGTATTTTAGGCTACTACTGTATTGCTCTGACGACGTTAGTTATTAGAAATATTGAAAGAAACTGCTCGACCTGATCAGATCCCAGCACTTGCAACAGATGGGCAATGATAGCCGTCAATGTTCTGATTGGTTTATGGGATGGATCGATAGATAGGATCGATAGATCAGGGTCATGTCGGGTAGATCCTTTACCACTTCGGTCATGTGTGGTGGATAGACAGGCTGATAGATCGGGGCCATGTGGGGTAGATCCTTTACCACATCTGTCATCATGTGTGGTGGATAGACAGGGGCCCCTCGGTCAAGTGTCTATCGGACAGTCCCGTTTCTCTCTCGACTCCTTATTGCATTACACAACTGTCGGAAGTAATTTGAGGAAGTAATTACTTTCCAGGAACGTCGCGACGTACCGTTCCGTGCTACTGACTCCCGCCCCCCACAAGTACCCTCTCTCTCTCTACAATTACATTAATCAAGTAATTAAGTAATTTGGCTTGACGTAATTATTTTACAGTT